CCATTATTATGTTGTGCTTCTTTAAAATCGCATTGTCTTACATAATGGGAGCAGGGCCATTGCATTGTGCGGCGGTACAACTAGGAGTTCGCGTTGTTCAAATACACGCAGATTTAATGGTATTTTATTACATCACCTACATTGTAAATATATGAATACTGGATCGTTTCTTTGTACATGTCACATGTTTGTCACCAGCTCATGTCTCTTGGTGTAACTACATGTGTCGTACATGTGCATTCGGCTTTTTCAATTAGGGTAGAAATTAAAATAAATACTGCCTTTCATGAAGCAGGTAACGTTCTTACAAAACTGCGTAATAAGTTAACGACAATTAAGGATAATAACTATCCCTCATTGTCGTTATTCATCTACGTTTATCGACGTCAATCTATTGATCATTACCATAATTGACGATGCTTACGACTACCAAAGAAGGATTTTGAGGGCAGTAACATATTTGAGCTATCAACCAATAGTCCTCATTCTGCGTGAATGTAGGGATGTCTATCAGGAATTTTATCAAGCCAGCAACAGAACACACTACATGCCCGTAGCCGTGGGGAGGGTTCGGGGGCTCGAACGAACAACCCTTTTTGAGAGAAAAAGGTCCACTCTGGGTAAAATTTGACCTAGGTACATGGGAATTTTATGGTTAAAGGTCCACTTTTTCAGAAGTAAAACCTTCTCTTTGAAATTGCTGCCTACGGGCCTGCACTACTTCACATGCTCATGTACACTGGCCGATACCAATTAGAAAAAAACCCGGATTAAGTAAAGCTTCGGTCACAACCGGCCGTACGGGCTCTTACGGGCTGTTTGCGTCCAATTTTTGCGCAGAATCTCACGTCCCACGCAAGACAAACGTAAGATTTGAGTACAATTTCCACGGCCATCGTTCCTTGCAATTAGCACCCCTGCTTGAAAGGAAATCTCATGTGGCCCTTGCTACTCGCAAGGCAGACTTCCCTTTACCTCTACGACCTCCACGGCCTTCGCAACAACCAAAAATCGCAGGGGACGTACGATCCTGAAATTCGTGCGTCCGGTTGTGACCGAGCTTTAAGGCGGCGTTTGTGTGCGGATACCATTTCCTCTCATAATTACCATAATGTGAATATTTATGTCACAGGCAAGATTCTAAATTAATTTAAAATCCACCTAGGCGAGATTGAAATTTCAATCTTGTCTAGGCGGGTTCTAAATCAGCATAGGCCAGATTGAAATCCCAAGTCACAGACATTTTTGAATTATGATTATATTAATTACATCCCTGGTGAAGCCTTCTGATTACACAATATATAATTAAGAACACCTGAAATTAACGTGCATAACTTGCGTTCGGTAGATTACGAAACAAGTATTTTCATACTCACAAAAAAAAAGATCAAATTCACTGTCAGCAAGTATAGGTTAATACATTCATTAGTTCAGTAAGAAGGAAGAAGATGAAGCCTTTTTTTGAACAACTAGGCATTGATACATGTAAATCCTCTTGTATAACAACTAGACATTGCGTAACTTCACTTAAAAGGTTTCCAATCGTCCTATACTGTTCCTATGAATTTTCGTCAAAACCTCTAAACAACGCCTGGGTGATTGGTTGTCTTTAAACATCCGTTGCACTGGGTGTTTTTGTATAACACATTTAAATGGATAAATAGGTCAATTAACTACTAAAAAATTAAGAAGCTGCAGTTTTGAAGCTTTTTTCTTTTGGCTGAACAAACGTGAGATTAATTTTGTTTATAATTTGACACGTCGGCTTTAGTTTAGAGTATTAGAAATTAGCAAAGATGGTTTATGCAGTACTCGTTACTGGAAATGCACGCTTGCTTTATATATAACTTTATTGGAGGGGGGGGGAGGATAAATTGTAAAATTCCCCCACTTACCAAACAAATACTCAGTGCATTTTATCCATTTGCAAAAGACAACGAAAATACAAAAAAAAATGTGCTTAAAATGTCTGATTTCTTCATAATTTGGGTCGATAGCGCTCGTTCGCCATTGTATTAATTTTGTCTGACCTCAATTAAATCTCTAATGTCTCAATTTAATCACTGGACAACTGACATTGCAAAGATTGCATGGACGCACCCCGTAACACTTGTTAATCCATGGGGCTATTGTTTGAAACAAACTATAAATTTAAAAAAACACACCCGAACATCGACCAAGCGAAATGAAGGCCAATAAATCCACGCCGTGTGACCCGTGCTACAGCTTCGTCCAACAATTCGGATAATAGACGTTTATCCCCCAATTTAATTTGATAGGATATGAAAACATTACGCACGCAAGCGTATTTGCACACAATATTGCATGACACACCTTACAGGACGAACCGTATTTTGAATCCCTTCACATGAACTGGTTGAATACAATGCACTACTTCGGTGGCACAGTTGCTTTTATTATCCTTTCAAAATTTAACGCTTGCCTTTTTATACCCCCTGTAAGTATGACGGGGCTTCAGAGCAATTTCTTGCTCGGATCGAGGTTTCGTGTATCCATTTGCTTTAGACTAAATTGATATCTAGTTATTGCAATGACAAATTTCCGAAGAATGCAAGATGGCAGCTCGGTACATGCTATTCGTCTTTCTACTGCTTATATTAATAATGATTACGGTGTATTACTGGCCGCCGAGTTGTGACGATAACTCCAAGCCATTTTCTAACATGCGACGGAAAAGGCCGATTTGAAAACGACTGAGGCTACACCACCCCGACATATGGCATACTTCACCTACTGATGTAAAAACTGCATATTTTCCTGCATTTGAAAATTTAAAGAAATTTTAAAGAAAGACTTATTTTCTAAATCAGTTAATAGTAATTGGTACCGTAAATGTTCGTTGCTTTATGTCTTCCATCGTCTTAACTTAATCATAATTATTTCGTCTTTAGGCTCATAATTTAAACATACTTTTATTAAGCAATTAGCAACTTTATCTTTTAATCTGTAACGCGCGCTGAGATTTTCATAGCGTGCCCTTTCTAACAGTAAATTATTATCATTATCACTTAATACTGTGCCACTTATACTGTGAGCTACACGATTGCAGTAGATGTCCCTTACGCTTTAATACATGGATATGCGTGCGACAAATGCGCAAGCTCTTGGTACAATGCGTTAGCTGTACCTGATCCGTTTACATATCTGGCACAATTATTTTGGATAAGCTTGTTATTTTCGTTTTCATTTGCAATGGATTTCAATTATAGCATTACGATATACATGTTTTGGTCGGAAAAAAAAAGTAAAGGTGCCTGCATGTGAAATTGACTGGCCTTTACCCGGATATCTACTCAAGTGCGGATCTACAATATCGATTTATTTCCCATATAGACTTCATTTAAATTTGTTTTTTTCTTTTTTTTTCAATGGTCCAGTAGAGATATGTCATACTGAATGAATTGGGGATGTGGTGCAAATGTCGCATTTTTTAATAGATGAAATATCAGAACCAGGATGATATGTGCTTAAAATAAATGTCGATAGTAATGAAGGTCCATAGCATTAGGCTGTCGGCTATTTGTTTCAATTACCGAATCATTACTACTGTGTGCAATATGTTGGTAAAGGGCAGCATAAAAACGTTAGTTGGCACTTCAGGCTGACGAGTTCCTGGTTATACTTACATGCCAGATATATGTCAGTCTTCATTAATAGTCAGATAATATGAGTGTCTTCATTTACATGCCAAATTTATGCCAGTCTTCCACTGAGATCGAGTTTGAAGGGAAGAAACTCCTAAAACGGTTTAGTACAGTAATTGTATAAAATATGTTTATGGCCAACGGTAGGTCCCTCCCTTGTCCTCAAAACATTGATATCGACTTACTGAATTACAGCGGTGCGAAGTGCTTGGCGGCATGTCGTGAACACTCCAGGATAGATTGCATTCGGATATTATATGGACATCCTATTAGCTTTTTTTCTGATAATCAACGCTTCAATTTTAATTTATAGTAACTATCTGAACTATGAAGTGTTCCCAGAGACCTGGATGTTGTTTTAAATGGTAATTCTAAATAAGGAAGTGTTTAACTAATATATATATATATTTTGGAAAGAAAAAAATAAGATAGAGGCCGACGAAAAACATTTATCAGGACATTGAGTCTATCTGTCTGTTTCTGTGTTTCATTTGCCTATATTTCATACTATTGTCCACGGGTTAAGAGTGGTTGTGGAGACGATGTCTCTATGATCGATGGAGCATCCGATACATCGGAAATCTTAGATACAGCCCATAGGAGCAGCTTTATTTCACCGACTCTGTTAAGATTTCTTATTCACAACGCACTGAAATCGTCACGAAGTTAAGTACAAGTACTTTCGATGTAGATATGACTGAATGTCTCAAGTTTCTGTGTGACACCGTCTTTCGGTGTTTATGTATGCGTTCGCACGCGTGCATTTTCTTTAGCGTAAGAATGAGAGGAACAATAAAGCAGGAAAAATACATGTACAGCACCCAGATGAGCAATTCTATATTAACACGCCTTTTATACAATCTGAATAACAGTCAGCTGATGATTTGTACGTATGTCATGAATTATTTTAGTTATGTACGTGATTTGGTTCTTAATACATGGTTTAAAGGTACAGTGTTTGGCTCACCGTGTTGACGAAAACTTTATCTTTGCAGTCAAGGTTTGCACCCAAGCCTCTCTTCGTAAAAAGAACATGACGCTTCATCTGTGATTCTCGATACACTGTGATTGTCCACCCACCCACCCCAAACTACACGCAATTACCCCTGTTACTTTACAAGACAACAAACCAAGACCGAACCATTACTATATCAATACTTCGTCGAGTCTTAATTTGCTCACTTCAATAAACCAACAACGCGTAACAATCGCGTACCCACGTCGCCCCGCAAAGCACATACTAGTAAGCACTGCATGTACGTCTATATTTTTTTCACCAGTTACCCAATATTGATTAAATAGCAGAACCTGTTGTAGCTCAGTAGGTACGTCTGTGTGCCCGCATCACGCGCGCAGTACTTCCAGTTGTTTTAAACCGCAGACGCTAAAGGATAGACCGGTTATGCCGTTAATCATAGCCAAGTGCCTTGCAGCATCAGGTGACAGGGACGTTAATGTTACATGTAGCTGGTAAGTGAAAGAGGACAGCGTGAGCTCAGTGGAAGAGAGGGCGGCCCATGCATACGTTCACCTTCGCCACCACTCTGGACATCAAAGCGACACTGTCGTAACTGTTAGTATTAGTTCACCCGAGGAATGTGCTGACATCGTATCAGTTGCTGACCGACTTAGCTGTGACCATTAGCTGCCCAGATGTAGGGCCGTATTTATCTCGTGGCGCGAACTGTTTGTGTGCTTTATTGTGGTCCCCTATAGTGCACCTTGTGATACACAGCATATGAGCTGGCAGCAACGCCGTGCATTTCTGCTTAATATTTGTGATATAAAGTCATGGCAGCGTTGTTTAGGCGACTATTTAACAGGGTGAACGACTCAGATGGAGAACAGAACGGCACACCAGTTGATTCAATGTCAGATTCCGTTGGCGGGGCGTCCCCAGAGAAGAAAAGGAAGTCGACTAAGAAAAGTAAAGACCTGTCGAAAAAGAAAGCGGCAAAACAAGCGAAGACATCTCAATTAGGTCATAATGAGGATGACGCACAAGGGAGGTCAATCAAAAGCGGGGAGGATGGCCATTCTCATGCACATGAAGGAGAGATGGCGGACACCTCGGGAAGTAATGGCAGTCCTCCCAAGAGGAGTAGGTCTAAAAAAATGGCTCCAGGGGGGTGGTTCAAAAAGATAGCAGAGACATTTCATAATGTGGACTTTGAGAACTGCGAGCCAGAGATCTGCGTGAGCCTCTTGCGGATCCCGTCAATGCAAACTTACTCTGCCTTGAAGAAAAAATTAAAAAATGCCACGCTGGATTGGGTGCAGGGGTTCCTGGATAACGACGGCCTGGAGGTGCTTCTGGACTGCGTTGATTCTATTGGCAACCGGAGAGTGACCCAGCTGGCGGACGCCCTCATGTTACTGGAGTGTGTGGCATGCATCAAGGCTGTTATGAACTCCAAGCGTGGACTGGATTACATTGTTAAACACAAGGAACACACGCGGAAGCTCGTGAAAGGTACGTCCTTAGTGCACGACCCATTGGTCGTATCGATTTATTTGGTTTCCTTTTTTCAATGACCTTATTCCGGTGTAATTGAATTCATCAATCACAAAACCACACTGGACTGGGAATCCTTCTTATTTTCTGGGGAAGGGGGGTCTTTACTTTCAATGAAATGCCCGTTAAGCCTAAGGTCCCTAATCCAGCAACGGGAAATTTGTTCAACACATCACCAGCTCTTTTCAAACATGCTGTATGCGAGACACACCTTTCCAGATTGCATGGATTCAGGAATAAAATCCAAAACAAACTTGCATGCATGCATTAATGTGAAAAACCAAAATAAGTGGCATTTTTTTCATGTTTGTCTCCTCCACAACACCTACACCTGGCATTTCGATGAATAGGTAGATATAATATACGTCCTGTCGATTACTCAGTTGATCTATAAATGTAGGCTGGCAAGCCGTGTTTGATTTACACACAAAACTAGGGGAGGCACCGAGACTGCATGAGTGATGTAAATGTAGCGCTATTTTTCGTTAATACAAAGGCACTTAAATTACAATACATGCGTGCTAAATCTCTCTCTTCCATCAACTTAAACCCGGGTATGCCTAAGGCAGAAACATACGAAATACATGCTGTGACCTTACAACGTTATTTTCGATTGGCGAAGCGCTTTGTTTGTGGCTCAGTATATGCCTCGGTATTCGTGTAACAAACCGGTTCTCGTTCATTCTCAGCCCCGGCATTTTTTTATCAATTGATTTTAAGGCGACAGGTCATATTACTTTGAGGAATTTCCCTAAGGTCGTCATCACTGGTCTAGTACTAGCATTTACATTGTACCAACCACTACACTATATACTTACCGCCACTCTGCATTGAGAGTAGGGGGAAGAAAGCACTGTGAAAAAATGCATTAAAAAGACAATATTTTTGAACTAGGTTTAATCCAGGTTAACAGTTACACATTCTGTGTATTTTTTTTAACAATCAAAAATTGTTTAATAAGGTGACTTCATAACTACTGTACTGGTGTGACGTTTATTCGTGCCATTTTAAAAAGCCGTTTAGAAAGAAAATAGGAAGAATCAAGACACAGAGGTCAAAAGAAATCATAACACCCCAGGACCAATGGATTGTCACCTTAATACTGACAATGACGATGATATACGATTAGTAAACTGAATGGGTTCACTGCATTCATTCCTCGCATATTTTTACTGTCACGGATGTACAGGTATATATATCTATTCGATAAGCAACGGAAGATACAATGCATGCACTGGGGTTACGTGCGTTGGCGTTAATGCTATTTTCCCTCTGAATAAAAACTTTAGGAATGTCATCGAATGGCTATAAATAAATTGTTTTGGCTGTTTGATAAGTGATAGAATATACACTTGGAGGGGGCGGGGTCGTGTGTGGCTTTAATCGACAGAATTCCCGCTAAAAAGTTTCTGTGCTTCTAACTTGGGTGATATTGATTGTCCTCCTTAATCTGTGTGCCACCAAAACTGTGTTAATATTGACAAATTAATAGCCAATACATCTCCCCGACCCGATGTTGTCATGATGGACACACTTCTGTGTCGGTAAATAGGTCACTTTGTGTGGCCGTCACAACGGACAGTGGTCCGTTATATGACAACATAAGTCACCGTACACTGAAAACCATTCAAGCCGAGATACCGTGTCACGGAGTTTATAGAGTTACATCAACTGTGTAAAGAAGGCTATCTTTGCGTTACATACACGCTGCACCTTCTGTAGTCGGATTAAACAGATAAGGTGTGGATTCCGGGCTTACCGCTACTCGTTGTTTAGACATGAAGTAGGGCCCACTCTTCCTTGTTCGGTTTTAAACAGGCATTGTTTTCGTGTTTGTTTCGATTTACATTATATATACTAAGTGTTCAGTTTTTATTTGTTTTAATAAGTCTCAATCCATCATTCGATGAGTTCGATAGACTGCATTTTGCTATTGAAATTCACTGGGTCCATCCTTCTGTATATAGGCATGCAGCCAATGCTAGATTCTTTGAGTAAGTCTTTGATAAACGTGGCACATACTCCTAGAAGCAATATCAGTTACATTTCTCTCCTGAGTGAAGTGCTTCTGAGTAAAACTTATTCTTCTTCTCTCCCCACAGCTCTGCCGGTTTATTTACTCTTATTATAAAGCGTTGGAGGCAATCATCAAAACAGGAATAAAACCCAAGAGTGCTCGAAGGCATTTCATAGTTCATTTAACTCAAAAATGGCTCTTACATAAATTAAACAATACCAGATTATAAATCATTCGGAAAAGGCGGAAAGTCGTATTGTCACTTGTGTTCGTTTTATTGCAGTATGTTGGTTGGAAGTGGTTTCGGCTTTAATTTCCGAACGCCCGGTGTTAATGCAGATTTCGCATGAGACTCGGGAGGAATCACTTATAACACAAGTGCCTGGATAGAAATAATTGTATAGCACATATTTATGGTTGTTTAAGCTTTCACGCGAGTGTGTATCAGTACATCTAAGCGTTGTATTAGGCTGCACGTGTCCCTTACTGATGTCAAACTGATGTACATGTTGTAGCTCCAACTATACTGTATATTACATCAATTTGTCGTTTCGGTGAAATGGTGTCAGCACATGAGACATATGAATGAACGCATGGTTATTAATGTAATAAAATTATCTCATGCGACCCACGGTTTATTTGAATTAAACACTATGAGTACACGTTAATTTTTTTTATTTCATTATTTCGTAATATTTGATGGTGGGGGATATGACAGGATAATTTTGCATCGATACAGTGACTGAAGGTGAACATGTAGAACGAGTACTGGGGCCAGAGGTCACCGTCAGTGATAACCCCCGATCAACCTGATAGAAAAATCAAATATTTACCCAGATAATTAGAATAAACACCCGGCTCTAACTGACTCATAATTTAATGTGTATTGCTCGAATGTATGCAGCGGTGGAGTCAGAATGCAAAAAATTTTTAAAACCTTACTCTGTTTATTTATTTATTTATTTATTTATTTATTTATTTATTTATTTATTTATTGCGCAGATAAAGAATTTGTCAGAAAATGCCCTGCAATTGGTGACATTATTCTGTATTTCTGTACTCCTCGAAAAAGAGTTATCCCTGAATCCTTGCTAAGAGTTGAGTACGCCTAATGATAGGGGAGACCGGGGCTAGTTGGCCCAGTTAGACACTTTTGGCCTTGTAGAGCCAACTAGGAATGGGTTAGAGTAACAAAACCGGTTTCAAAGTAAGCCCCATGAACTAAGCTACGCATGCAACGTCATTATTTTTCAAATATAATGCCAGGTGGCTCACAATTTGACAAAAAACGCAGTTGACGTCAAGGGGGCCAACTTGCCCCGCCATGGGGCAAGTTGGCCCCAGGGTCGGGGCAAGTTGGCCCCCCTATACGAAAAAGAAATATATATCCCACGTAAACGCCTTAAAATACATTTTTATAATTTTTTAATTTATTTAATTTTTTTTAGAGTCTTTGATGAATAAACAGTTCAAATAAGGCAGATTTATTGAGGTTTCCGTACGTCACGTT